TGTTGTTGGGAAAGCACTGGTTAGATCAGAGATAATATTGGTGACGATGGTTGTAGCTGTTTCTATGAGACCAGATGACACTGGCTCTTCTTTAATGATGGGTTTAACCGGTTGTTTGTATGCATGATACACGTCACTGCTACTAAAGTAACCTGCAACTGAACTTGAAATTGGTTTTATATAGTCGTGTTGAGTATTTGCAGCTTCTTCGCCTAAGCTAGTTATAGGCGTTTGTGTTGATGGAATTGTGGTTGGTCGTAAAATGCTCGTGATTTCTAATGAATCTGTGGGTGAGCTTCGTCGTTGTTCGTCCTTGGATATCTTTTCATTCTCAATGGATGATGTCAGAACGGCAATTCGTTCTTTTGTTTCAAGTGGACTTACTACTTGTTCAGTTGTAGGAGCTGATTTAAAAGTTGTATTTGTTTCTGTGATAGTTGTTGGGGTTTTCGATGGAAGTTCATTTTCATCGTAGACTCTTGAATCGATGGATGTGATTGTCTCTTGAGTCGTAGTTGGCTTATGGGAAGCACCAGTAATAATAGAGAAAGCATCAGTTATGGCTGATGTTACTTTTTCAAAAATGGTGGTTTGGTCCTTTTCGTCAATATCTGGTGTTTCTTCCGTAGTTGATACATGCTTTTGATCGGTAGATGCTGAAGTAGTCAGTTTATAATGAGATTCTGGTATTTGCATTTTTTCTTGTTGATCGTTTAATTCATTAGTAGATGAAACTGTGTCAATTGGTGGTGGTAATTTCACATAGGTTGTTGGATATTGTGTTTGTGCAAGTATTTGTTCGAGAGCCATCTGAAGATGTGAACCAGATGTTGGTTCCTCACGAACTCTTCTTTCATTCGAACTAATAACTGTACGAAAAGGTGTAGCAATTATGTGTTCAATTATTTTAGCTAACTCATCAATATTTATTCTATCTTCAGTTGATTTTTCATCTGTTGATGTAATGACCTGTTCATCTGTTGATAATATACCAACTTGTTTATTAGTGTCATGAGCAAGGTTTTTAATCGTGGCATCTTCAAGTGTTGTAACATGATCGATAAGAGCATCATATCGCTGTTGTAAATGTTGATCATCATCTTTTTCTTCTCTAATATCTGTTGTTTTTGTTTCTGTTTCAATAACTGATGATGAAGATGATTGTAAATTGATCAATGGTTTTTCTAAATTATCAATGTGTTCAAATAATTTAGAATATCGTGAATCTAATTCAGGATTTGTTATAATTTCATCTTGAATTGTTTCATCAAATACTTCTGTTTCAATTTTCTTTGGTAATAAATCATTATCATCATCAAATTCATCTTTTGATGGAAATACAAGTGTTTGATTGTCAAGTGTTTCTTTAATATCATTATCAAGTGTTGTTGGAAGAAGATTAGATGATAAGATATGTTGTTGACTAATTAATTGTTCAACTGGTTCTGTTATTGAACTTGTTTCTGATGTTATATCACCTTTATGTTCAAGTAAATCAGAATCAAGTGCTTCAATTGCTTCTATAATTCTTTTAACATTATCTGAAACAGGTGCATTACTGAAAGGCATTGTAAATTGACCATCATCGGCTTGAAATTGTTCATTGGATTGTAAAGAAATATTTTTTACATCATCTGAAACAATTGATTGTTCATCATGTTTTAATTGCATTGATAGTTGTTGATCAATGTGATGCGTCATATCATCAACTGTATTAACAATATCATCGGGTACACCAAATACTTGACGATATTCTCTTGTAGGTAAATTTGATATAATTGAAGGTGATTCTAAATCAAAACGTCGTGCATATTCATAAGCATGATCATCAAGATTAATATCAGTTATATCTTGTTTCTTTTCTTTTTCTTCATAATCAATTAATGGTTGCATAGTTGTCCATGTTGTTAATGAAGAAGATATTTGTTCTGGTTTTTCAATTTGAGTTGATTCTTGAGGAGACATTAATGTATGACGTTTTTCTTGTAATTCATAATATGCTAAAGGTGAATCAGATATTACTTTTTTCTCTTCTGACATTGGTATTGATTGTACGGATTCTTGTCTATCTATAGGAGTGAAATGTGATGATGATTCTTCGACAACATCTGATATAAAATGTCGATGTTTATATAATTCTCTAAAATTAACTTCTGAACTATTTGGAGTTTCAGGGACAAAAAATGTCGGTACATTAGTAGCTGAAGTATCTTGATCGACATCATCAATTCGAAAAGTTGGTTGAACGGCACTGGCTCGTTGTAAAGATGTTGTTGGGTTTGTGATGTCGAATTGTTCGGGTGACATTGTTTGAATATTTAATGTTTTTGGTATTGTATCAACAATATTCGGAAGTTCAGTAATATTAAAATGTTCATCAAAATCAGGTTTAGGAGAAACAATAACTTTATTATCTTCATGGGAAATAGAGGATTCCAAAGAAATTTCATTTGGAAGTTTAAGTATACTATGAACAATATTTGTTAGTCCAGATATTGAATGATACTCATCGACTGATTTAGTTTCAATATCATTTGTAAAGTTAATATCAGTATCACTTTTATCGGAAAATTCATCTTCGGAGGAAAGTGAAACAAATGGCTGATTGTCATTTTCATCAGGAATGGATTGTTCAATTATATTACATGCATTGCTGATAGCATCATTAACAATAGTATTGATTGTAGTATATAGTGATGAAGAAATGAATTGATTTTCATCATAAGGTATTAATTTATCTTCCGAAGTAGAAGTAGATTCTGCAATAATCGTTGGATGCAATGATAATTCTGATTCACTACTAATGATATCCTGAAACGAAGAGTCATTGCTTGATGGTTCAATTATATCGCTAACAGTAGATTGAAGTGGAACTTGATCATTATCCGATAAAGATAATTTGCTTATAAGAGAAACACCTTTGTCAGATTCATTAAGCTGTGGTTGGACATATGATATTTCTTTTTTGTCCGTATCTATATCAGTGGTTGATCGCTTCGGTGACGTAACAAATTCATGAACGATTTTGACTAGGGAATCTATTGATTGTTTTACTTCTTCAGAGGGAAGCGTCATTTCCCTTTCATCCTTGATACTTGATGTTGTTAAAATTTCACGAGTGACTTTCATTAAAGAATCTAACGATATATTTTCAGCTTCTTGGACAGATGGATGATGAACACCTACAACAGGTTTTTTTATATCTTCAGTTTTGTTTGTCGCTATACTTGAATCTAATTGTTCTTGAAAAACCTTGTCATCTTGTGATCGTGTTATATCAGTTCCAACCGACGGCAAATTAACAGTAAATGGTGTGCCTAAAATTTCATGTGCGCTTCCAATGAGTGAATCAATTGACTCAGTTTCATCTTCTATTTTTTCTTCTGCGCCATTCGATGGATGTTGTATTTCAACTGCTGTTTTGCCAGCATCAGGAATTATAGTAATCGTTTTATCGGATACCACATTTTCTGGAATGGTACGAATCTTTTCCAAAACTACAGTTTCAGGAGTTATCACCGGTTGCTCGATTGATTTACCAGTCTCTGGTTTCAACTCGACTGGAGAAGGAAGGATGCTGAGGGATGAATCCGAAACTTCAGGAACATCTTCATTCAAGGGTACCGATGTTGCATGTTCAACACCATAATCTGATGTAGTATCTTCGGCAGATGATGTACGAACTTCCGCTTTTCTTTCGTCCATATTTTTTACTACAGGTTCTGTTTTATGTAACAGTTGTATTTCATCCGGCTTTGTATCTGACATTATAAGTTTTTCTTCTGTTACTGTTCCAACTGGTAGAACTACTGGTGTTGCTTGTTCAGATGTTCCAGAAACTATCTCATCAAATCGCCGTTCAATTTCTTTCTCCTTTGTCGCCGTTGCTTTTTCAGACACAGATTCGGCTGTTGGAAGATGAACAGTAACTGGTGTAGCAAGAATTTCACGAACAACTTCAGTTAATATTTGTGTTGAAAGCCGCTCAGCTTCACGTTCTTCGATTTTGCCTTCAGTTGATGGTATATGAGATTCTGTTGTTGTTTCCTGTACAGTTTCAAAAGCAGATGATCTTGTAATAGGTTGTTGTAATTCTTCTTGTTTACTATCCACAGATTTCGTTGTTTCTTCTTCTCTCGTAATCACGTCGGAAGGTAGAACCTCTTTGACTGGTTTAATAAGTTCAGTGACTGATGTGAGAGATGGTTTTTCTTCTTGTTCTTCAGTTTTGATTACTTGTTCTACAATGTGATCAACTTCTGGAAGATGAACAGTAACTGGTGTAGCAAGAACTTCACGAAGAGCCTCAATTAATGCTTCTGATGAAAGACGTTCAGCTGCATGTTCTTCGACTTTGTCTTCAGTTGATAGTAGATGAGATGCAGTTGATGTTTCATCTGCAGATTCACTAGCAGATGATGTTGTACTAGGTTGTTGTAATGCTTCTTGTTTAGTTTCTACAGGTTTAGTTGTTTCTTCTTCTAGTGTAATCACTTCTGAAGGTAGAACCTTTTTGACTGGTTTAATAAGTTCAATGACTGATGTGGGAGATGGTTTTTCGACTTGTTCTTCAGTTTTGGTTACTTGTTCTACAGTGCGATCGACTTCTGGGAGATGCACAGTAACTGGTGTAGCAAGAATTTCACGAACAGCTTCAGTTAATGCTTCTGATGAAAGGCGTTCAGCTGCATGTTCTTTCTCTTTTTGTTCAGTGGATGGTACATGAGATTCTGTTGTTGTTTCATGTACAGTGTCAGTAACAGATGACGTTGTACTAGGTTGTTGCAATTCTTCTTGTTTAGTATCTACCGCCTTTGTTCGCTCTTCTTCTCCTGTAATTATTCGTGACGACAGCACCTCTTTGACTGGTTTAATAAGTTCAGTGGCTGATGCGAGAGACGGTTGTTCGACTTGTTGTTCTCTTTGTGTAACTTGCTCCACAGTGTGATCGACTTCTGGGATATCAACGGTAAGTGGTGTTGCAAGAATTTCACGAACAACTTCAGTTAATATTTGTGTTGAAAGCCGCTCAGCTTCACGTTCTTCGATTTTGCCTTCAGTTGGTAGTGGACGAGACTCGAATGTTGTTTCCCGTACAGTGTCAATAACATATGGTATTGTACTGGGTTGTTGTGATTCGTCTTGTTTAGTTTCTACAGGTTTAGTTGTTTCTTCTTCTCGTGTAATCACTTCTGAAGGTTGCACCTCTTTGACTGGTTTAATAAGTTCAGAGACTGATGTGGGAGATGGTTTTTCGACTTGTTCTAAAGTGTGATCGGCTTCTGGGAGATGAACGGTAAGTGGTACAGCAAGAATTTCACGAACAACTTCAGTTAATATCTGTGTTGAAAGCCGTTCAGCTTCACGTTCTTCGACTTTGTCTTCACTTGATAGTAGATGAGATGCAGTTGTTGTTTCATGTACAGATTCAATATCAGATGATGTTGTACTAGGTTGTTGTAATGCTTCTTGTTTGGTATCTACAGGTTTAGTTGTTTCTTCTTCTAGTGTAATCACTTCTGAAGGCTGCACCTCTTTGACTGGTTTAATAATTTCGTTGACTGATGTGAGCAATGGTTTTTCCACTTGTTGGTGAGTTTGGGTAATTTGTTCTACAGTATGATCAACTTCTGGAAGATGAACGGTAACTGGTGTTGCAAGAATCTCACGAATGGCTTCGGCTAAAGCTTCTGATGAAAGACGTTCAGCTTCACGTGCTTTCGCCTTTTCTTCAGTTGGTTCAGGATGAGGTGCGATTGTCGATTCTTGTTGAATTGTAATAAGAGTTGATGCTACACTTGGTTGTTGTAGTTTTTGTTGATGTGTATCTACCGGTTTTGTGATTTCTTCTTCTATTGTAACCGTTTCTGAAGGTTCTGTTTGTCCAACTAGTTTGGTAAGTTCAGTATCTGGTGTGGAGGATGGTTTTTCGACTATTTGTTTAGTTTCTGTAATTCGATGTACGATGTGATCGACAGTGCGTTGATGATCAATAACTGGTGTGACTTGAGGCTGTGGAACGGTTATTGTCAATTCTTCAGTTGAAAGACTTCTAGGCTTTAGTTCTTCAACGGTTGTTCCGGCAAGTTTCTCGTCTCTGGGTTCAGTAGTAGATGATGAAGTCGTTGTTTCGTGTAAATCGATATATTGCAAATGTTTTGGTGTTTTGACTTGTTCTTGTATCTCTGGTTTTGGTGACACTTCATCTTTGGTTAGGGAATCAATCGGCTGGTTGTCAGGTTTTTGATCGAGAAAATAAGTGGTTTGTTTTACATGATCAATCAATGGCTGGTGAATATCAATTGATTTGGTAAGATCATCAGGAATGTGTATTTCGTCATCAGTTGTTTGTTGGCGATCTGTGGTTATTATTTCAGCTTTAGGTTGAATATTGTCTTGAGTTTGCGGCTGTTCGATTTTCTCTATTTTATCTTGTTGGACAGATTCTTCTTTTGTTTTGACAACGTCTAGTTTTTGTTTCTTCGGAGATTCTGATGATTCTTCATCGCTGATAGGACTAATACTAGTTTTCGCTGACATTTCACAAATAATTGTTGTAAGGTTTTCTGTCGATGGTTGTTCTTCAGACTTATCGATGGTTGTAAATCTTGCTGTTTCAGTACTTTCCTTGTTGTCTTGAGTTTTTTCTGCTTCGATAGCTTTTTGCTGTGTCATTTCTTCTAATGTCGTTGCTAATGTAGATGGAACAATATCAACAACAGGTTCGATCGAATAATCAACACTTTTAACTGTATCTGTTTTAATTTCAGCTAATGGTCGATGAACAGGAAGTGGTGTAGCTAATATTGCACGAGCAATTTCTGTTAGTGCATCAAATGAATGACGTTCAGTTTCATAGGTTTTTCTTTTATCTCCAACTGGTAATTCACGATCTTCAGATGCTGTTTGTTCTGTAACTTGTGTAGTAGTTGTAAGACTTTTTGTAATCGAGTCTTCACTAGCACGATCTTCTACTATTTTTGGACTAGTAGTTTCTGTGACATGTAAATGAAGCGATGTTGATGGCGTACTAGTAATAGAAAAATCAAATTTTTATTTAAGAAAAATGACAAAAAAGAAGAAAATAATTTACCTGTCACCATCATGAAGATTTTTCTGTAGTGTTTCTACATGTTCTCTTAGAATACTTCGATCAGATAAGTCAATTCTCGGTTTTTCATCATGTTTTTCTGTCGTTACAATAGCTTCAGTAGTTATAAGATGTGATGGTGTAGGAGAAGTAACTGGTGCTACAAGAGTTTCCCAATCTGCGTCGACCAAAGATTCGGATGGTAGATGCTCTGGCTCATCTTCTTTGATTGTTTTTTCAGAAGTTGTTTCTTGTTTATGTTCAGTGACCAAGGATATTTCGCTTGGTTTTGGAATCAACTCCTGAGTATCATGTGTTTGTTCTACTTTTATTGTCATTCGTTCACGAGGAATGCTTTCATTTGGTATTACTATTTCTACATGAGAATCAGCTAATGGCTTCGCAATTTCTTGTTTATTAATATGAGTAGTTTCTGTTTTAATATCAGCTGATATAAGACGAAGAATTCGCGCTAAAGTATGCATCTGACGAACAATATTGACTAAAGAATCTACTGAAACTGGTTCACCAATTTCTTTTCTTGATTGAAATTCAGTTGATGATTGATCATCTTTTGATGTTGGTTTTTCCATGGCTTCAGAAGTAATAGACGACATACTCGAGATCAATTGTTGTTGTTTTTGTTGTTTGTCAGACGTGATGACAGATGGAGTACTTTCAATTATTGAATCAATTGAAGATAATCTGTCTTCTTGTCTGGTCGATTCGATTGATTGTTGAGTATCTGTATATATTTGTTGTTTATCCAAAGAAGAGCGAAGAGGTTGAGAATGTATTTGATAAATAATGTCAGCAAGATAATTAACATTTAATAATCGTGTTTGTGTTACATCGTCTGTATCCTGAGAGAATAGTTGTTTTGATTGTAATTGAGTAGGAGAAATTTCATCAGTTACAACAGAAGAAGCCTGAGAGAAAATGTCTTGTTCATGTTGAGGTTTTTTAACATTGGTTATTATTTGTTCAACAACATGGACTAGAGAATCAGTCGATGATGGTAATTGTTCAATTGTTAAATCTTGTTGATCTAGATTTGTTTCTGGAATATTTGAAATTGCACTATCAATTTCATGAATTTTAAGAGAGGACTTCTCTTCATTGTCTTGTTCAATATCATGTTGATCGAGTGTTGTTTGATCAATTTGAGTTCTACATGAAAATAAATAGTCAAATAATGTAAATATTAAAAATATTTATATAATCTGATGTAAAAGAATTTCATAACGATGTATTTTTCTCTCGACTGTATTCTATATCAAAATTTCAGAGACGATCTATAGTGACAAAGTTTTTAGAGAACAGGAGATAATAGTTTTCAAGTTTCAGAAACAATTTTTCAACCATGCTATTTGAAGGAGTAAAAATCCTGAGTGAAACAAATGAGAGATTGCATCATTTTTCTTTATCCTTTCGTTAAAAGTATCAAAACAAAAATTGAAAAAAAGCGTTTTTATGAATTTTTTGATATATTTCGTTTTGTTTTACAGATTTTATCATACTTTAAACTTTTTTTAACGAAAAGCCATAGAAAATGTGGCAATATCTTATTTTATTCCGAACTTCATACTCATTAAAAAAATAACTTCTGAGATCTGAAAACTACTGTGTTCCAATTTTCGAGAAACCTTGCCATCATAGTTCACTTCGAAAGTCTTAGCATAAAATGCATTATATAGAAAAATTCCAATGGTTATTAAAATCATTATTTGGATTTGAGATGGGGATTTGACCTTATAGAAAGAAAATAATTCGAAATTTACTTTGTTTGATTCGATGATTCAATTTGATCTGATGGGATATGATCATGAGATGGTACCCATAGTTCTTTGGCGTCTTCAATTGATTTTTGTACAATAGAATCCATACTTTGATCATCTTGTGATATTGGTTCTTCGGATGATTTTGTTTCAGACATAAATGATTGTTCATCTTCAGTCTCTTCATCGAATCTTGGTAATTCTGGCATAAGATGAGCTGTAATTGAATTTAACATGGATCTAAGTTCTCGATCATTTTCACTTCTTGTCTTATCTTGCGGTAATGATATGTTTTTCTCCTCCGATATACTTGTTGGAATAGATGTTTCATCAGTTTTTTCCAATAAAGTTCTACATAATAGAAATATAAAATAAAGTAATTTTTCATGATCAAATTTTTTTAATTTACTTTGTTGTTTCAAGTGAATCTTCAGGTAATTGATGTTTAACATGTTCGATATGAGAAGAGGTTTCAATTGTTTGTATTGGTTTAATGTTCTAAAGAAAAGAAAGAAAAAACGAAAGTGAAATGTTGAAATAGAATTTTAAACAATAACCATGTTTACTTCTTGATCAATATTTGTTTCCAATGATTTTACAACTGAATCTGTCGTTTGCAATTGTGATTCTAATTCATTGCTTTTATTGATTGATGATTCTGCTGTTGTTGTTATGATTTCGTGATCATCTTGTTTTTCATTTGTTGATAATAAACTTGATGGATGAGATTCTTCGGTTGCTTTTATTAAATTTGATGATTGTTTCTGTTCATCTGACGTAAATAATTGTGATGATATTTGTTCACTTTCAGAAAATGATGCATCTTCATCAGTATCTCTTCCTGCTATATCTTCATCATGTTTAACAAGTTCTCGTATTGTTGGTTCTGTTGCACTTGATTGTTCCTCTTCATCTTTTTCTAATTCATCATATTTTGATGTCGTTTCTTTATTGATTTGTTTTTTCATATCAGTAGAATAATCTTGCTCACCTTGAAAAAAAGCAATTAATTATCAATATTTATGTTTTTTTTTGTTTCATGTTTAATAGGTAATATGTAAATAATTTTTACATTAAAAAAATCTTGACATTTTGTAAAGTTCAATATATTCTTCTCAAGTATTAAGATTATGAATTCTTTTTTTTTATAATGCTAACATGATTAATTTCAATGTCTTATGTCTTAATAATTTGCTTTCCAAGAGACATATATCTCATATGTTTATGTTATTTGATCTTTTATGAGAAAAAAAAGAGCAAGAATAATAACTTACGGTTGTCGGTTTCTTTCTGGACAGATGTTTGATCGATTATATTTATCCTTGATTGTTCTCTATTGTCTGTTGTTCTAGTAGAAGTTAACAAATCATCCGAAGAACTAATATCATATGTATCTTTATTTGTATCACTTCTTGTTTTAAGTAATAAATTTTCATTTACATAATCATGACTTGCTGGTGTTATATCTATCTTTGTTATTCCTCGTTCTTCATTAATAACAGGTACAAATTCTCCAATTTCATTTAAAGTATCATCATGTGCAGTTGATCTATCAATGTGACTTGATAGATCATGCATTTTATCATAGAAACTTCTATTTTGTTTATCAATTAAATCTGTTGGAAATGTATTATATTGAATATTACTGGTTATTCGTGTTTGTGGATATTGTTGAATTAGAGTGTGTGAAAGAAATGGATCAGTTTCATTGACTCGAATATAATTAACATAATTTCCGTCATCTAAAGAATTACGTATAGATATATCAAGTGAAGGTTTATTATTGGGAATAAATCCTGTTGACTGCCATGATGAAGATAATGTTGTTGATTGTGTTGGTGTACTTGAACGTTCAGGACTATATCGATGATCATGATAATATGGTGAACGTGTACCACTTGTATCTCTTGAACTAGGTTGTGATGTCAAATAAGAAGAATCATCAATTGGTGGACGTTTTCGTTTGGTACGACGTTTTTTTATTTTACGAAAATTTCTTGATTCAGAACGTGAACGATCAATTTGTCGACATGTTTTTAATTTGTCACCAGAATATACAAGTTCATAAAGAATTTCTTCAACAACAGTTGGTTCAACTTCTTCAAATTCAACAAAATCTTCAAATTTGAATTCACCTTCTTGTCTAACTACTGTTTTAGCATCATCACCCCAACGTTCAATTAGAGTTGGATAATGATTAAGATCAGTTATTTCAAGTATTTCTTCATTAATTATTTCTTCATCAGAATCATCTAAATAATGTGTTTTACGAAAAGGTGATGAAGATGATGGTGTACGATAACGTGTTATAGATGGATATGATGGTTCATATTCACGATAATGACGAGTTAATGAATTTGTTGGACTCGTCGGTGGTGGACGATAATTCGATGATGATACATAGTATGAATGAAGAGTTCGAGGATCACCTGCTATTGGTGTTGTAGTATATGTTGGTTCTGTATTAAAGGTATTTGTAGATGCATAAGTATGTGTTGTAAGTGTCGAACGACTTGAACGATTATTTGACGATGAAATATTTTGACGATGATTATTTCTGTTGTATGAAGACGACGAGACACGGTTCGCCATTGAGTCGTCAACACTTAGGCGGACGACGCTCGGGCAACTGTGCTGCTCGCTTGTAAACGAAGTAACTGAATCAATATATTTATTTGCTTGCTTTGCTCTTTCTCTCTCTTCTGTTTTTTCTTGCTTTTTCTCCGTCGTCGACGCTAGCGTTCTTCTAATGCTGTCTTCTCTTTTTTCTCTTTCACCTTTTTCTCCGTCTCTCTGATTTTCGCCCCCGTCGTCGACATTTGCCGTCGTCATTACTGCTCTTTCATCATCACTCGGCGTAGTATCTGCATACTGCTCATCCCGCTTATTGTTGTTGTTCTTATTTTTATTGATAGAAGTTGTAGTAATAGCATGAGTAGATGCAGTCGATATGCTACTAGTACCATTGACAAAAGATATAAGAGATTGTGGTACAGATTTCTCTTGCCGATGCGTCGTCAACAATGATGTTGTATTTTCCCCTTTTAATAAATCAATATATTTTTTTCATGTCTTCCTTGTGCATCAGTATGAATATAAGTAGGAATAATTGCAGAAAAAAAAGGGAAAAAAATTTTGATTAGTATTTGTCTTGTTCCTGATTTTTTTCTTTGTTAATATCATCATATTCGTACCATAGCTATTAGGGTTGGATTTGTTCTCATAAAAAGCAATGATTTTTTCATGTCTTTGTCTTTTTCTTCGTCCTTCATAGTTATTGTACATATTTTCTTCGTCGCTTTTTTTTCCTTTTCTTTTTTTACCCGGTTTTCTTGTTCTCTATACATAGATTTCCTTTTTCTCTTTGTTTTTCTCTCATCACACCATCATCAATATTACTATGGAGAGTATCTATGTTTGAAGGCCTTCTGTTACTGCAAACGTCATTTATCATGAATGATGTCGAGTACATTATTTATTTTTTCTAGAATTTCTATTTTTTTTTTGCTCGTTTTTTTTTTAATAACTAGGATTCAAAATATTTACTTGGCTCTGATGTAGAAGATGATGATGAAAATGTAGAATTTGGCTGATGTTGCTTGTCTCGTTCTTCATCTTCGACTATTTTCGCCATATGTTGGCCTCGATTGCCAGATTTTTCTTTTTCTTCGTTTTCAATGGAAGCTTCTGAATAAGAGAAAAGAATAAAAAAAAAAAGTACAGAAAGCGCAGACAAATATGCATACGCCAAATAAAAATGTTTTAAGATAGTAAAACAAAAAAAAAAAAAAAGAGCGAGAAGAAGAAAAAAAACTAAAAATAAAAACCTGAAGAATATTGGCAAACGTTGAAAAAATATAAGTAAAAAAAAAACAGAATCTGTTTATGCTTTTATCATCAGTTTTGTAGCTAGAGGTATTTTTAATGTCAATTAGCATAATTTGTTCAAGAGTTAGTAAAGAGAAAAGAAAAGTATTATGTATATACATATGTATGTGTTAGTGTCAATTCAATTAACTGCTCGAACAGCAGGCGTACCTGGAACAATATTAGACATTGATTTTATAGACTCTTCTTCTTTGGGGGTATCATAAAATTGTTTATTACTTATAGAAAATGTTGAATCGGTATTTATTGTAGTTTTTTCATTTGTATCATTCGAAATCAATGGGTATATTTGTTTTTGTTGATCATCATTAAGATTTGTCGACAAGATTTCATTCTCATCAGACAAAACTAAAATTAAAAAAATATATAAATATCATTTTCGATCAATTTTCTTTTTCATTGAATCTCTAAAAGAACCCTCGTCTGATTGAAAAAAAAAGAAAAAGGCGAAACAGATCTTTATCAGACTATTCATTTGATCATTGATAAACATATTCGAATCATCATATGAATAAAATTGATTTTGTGTCCACATATGTAGGCAAACATCTAATGATTTTTATCATTAAATGGTCACTTATTTTATAAAGAATGAAAAAATGATATCTATCATTTTCATATTTCGTTAATAAGTATGATATAGGTTATACAATCATCTAGTGAACTGTAGAAAAATGACATTATTGAATGGTAAAAATCCGTCAGCTAAAATTACAAATGACAGGCTATTGTACAGACACCTTTAGTTACATGAATAACATCTTTCTACACGCTTCGATGCTTTTTTTATTGAGTGTATCACATTTTTCAACGTCTTTATGTCTTTGATTTAATATCCAGACGCAAATATTTCAATACAACAGTCATACAATGTTAATAAGTACATAAAATATATATTGTCATCATGAATAAAATATCTATTGTAATCATACAAGTTTCTTTCTTTTCAAAGATAATTATAATGAACTAAATATAATTGCGATCGATGACACAATCAAGTAACAATGCTGTCTCTCATCAATATTCATTTCTCATTGACAAAAGAGCAACTTTACATAAGAGTTTGAGGAGAACGGAGTAGATTCTATCTGTCAACAATCATCTCTTATTGCGTATATAGATCTATACATATACGAAGTCCAATTAAGTTAGATACACAAAGATTACTTTTTGTTACTGCCTCTATTCTTAGTCTATGTATGTTCACTTATTCAATGTCTTTCTTTTATATATAAATAAAGAAATTTGATTCTTGCCAAAAAAAAAGAAATAAATTGCATCGATTTATCTAGGCCATAGTATGTAATAAGATCGTTAGTCAGTGCCTAGATGCTACTGATTTTTTTTAAGTGTTTCTACACATGCAATGACACATGTATTTTTAACTTGTTTTTGTTACTCGTCTGTTTAATGGTAATGAGAAGAAAGAAGGAAAAAGAAAATTATATTTTGTATCGATAATGTATTCAAATCGTCAAACATTGCCTATGTTTGCCGATTTTGCTGGTGTACAGTATTTTTTTTCTCCCTAAAGTATTATTATTAATCATCATCATCAACAAAAATATTAAAACGCGACAGAGAAGACGATTTATTTTCGAGGCTAATGCATCTCAATCAAAAAGACATTTTTTCGTTTTTTTTTCTTGTCATGCTCCTTATTTTTTACCTTACAGCTAGGTAGATGAAGCAGAAATAAACTAATCAGCATAAAAATACCTGCTGCTTTATCGACCGATAATGGCAATAACGGCGGAGCTTTCGTAGACTTGTTTTCATTAGCAAGGTCATTTTTTGCTTCACTAGATTTCTGATGTTGTTCTTCTTGTTGTAAGCTTTGTGTAATATACTGATATGAAGGCTGTTGATATTTATTCATAGCTAATGAATATGAATTCAAATTTAAAGATGATATTATTTCATGTTTGTGTTTTTGTTCTTCTGATTTTTTACTATTAATTCCTCGTAATATATCAACCATAATTCTTGTTAAAGAATGAATACCATCAAGATGTGCAGATGATGATTGTAAAGATGTTTCAGGACCTGAATATGAACGTATTCGACCAGTTTCTATTTGAATGTGTTGAACAAAAGGTCGACCTGAATAAGTACGTATTCGTTTTGATGGATATTTATTTTTCTGTTGGTGATGTAAACTTTGATTTTCATCAGTTAAATGTTGTTGTAGTGGTTGTAGTAGTTGTTGTTGTTGTTGTTGTTGTTGTTGTTTTGGCATTAATGGTGTATAAAGCTGATAAGCTGGCTTTGGACAATATGATGATGCTGAACATAACGTATGACTATATTCTTGTGGCCACCATGAATTTGTTGATGATAATAATGGTGTTAGAGCACTAAATGATTGTCGATATTGTGGAATATATTGTGGTACAACTGATAATAATGGTCTTATAGTTGATGTGTTTGTTGAAGTTATTAACGATTCAGGAAGCTGATATGTATCGGAATAATAACGTATACGTGAATGCCGATTTTTTTGAGGATCGGCATGTATTGCATGTCTTTGTAAATGCATTGGTGCTAATTCTGAACGATATGTTGATGTTAAATGAGTTGGTTTAAAATCTGGTGCATCAGGATTTAAATGTTTTGTTGGTTTTATATTATCATTATCAGTTTGTAATAAATGTGTTGAATTACGTATTGTTTCACCTAAGTTTAATTTTGATTGTTCTTTATTTGTTGTTGTTAAATTTTCAGTAACATGATTAGTCTTAGATGATGAAGAAGGTAATATTGCATGACGATGTTGTTCTTCATGTTTATCGGTTAATAAAATTTCACCAACGGATATTTTATTTAATGTTGCTGGTAAATGTTGAGAACTATCTGTTGTGATAGTTGATTTTGAATTGTCTTCTAATGATTTTTTTTGTCCTTTATCAAACGATGGCTGAACTATTGTTTGCGCATCACTTGATTTTGAACTTTTTTCTCTTGATATAGACGATGAATCGCCGTTTTTAACACTCATATTAAGGTTTTTATTAGAAAAAGATGTATTGCTATTGTCCAATGTATGTATTGTAATGGCTTTCTAAAAATAGAATAAAAAACAATGACGAATACTATTGAAACAGCTGTGCTGATGACAATATGTTTTTGAATAGATTTACACCCAAACATAATCAGTTTTTTTGATAAAAAACAAAATATTAAACTCATTTTTTTTTGTTCTTCAAGAAATAAAAATAGAATAAATTATTTTATGATGCATAATTTAAAACGAAAAATGTAGCATAATTTGTTTAAACATCATAATGTGAGAAAGAACAAGATACATATACATTTTACGATAATTTCTATACGTGAGTAATGTACAAATGAATTCTGTTTTGAATACGTATCAGAAAAAAACGTAATAAAAAGCACATTTTCCATGTTTTATGTATACTCGTCATGAATATATAATTATAGGGATAAATAATAAATTCGATTAAACAAAAAGAGAAAAAAAAGCAAATATCCTGAGAAAGTATTTTTTTTTTAAATTCTAATAGAAAATTAATTTTTTGTTAAAGGTATAAAATTCATTATAATCATATCGTCTGTATCTATTTGTTAAAATGATTAGAAAAATAATAATATAAGAGAAAAATACTCAAGATATTTTAGAATGAATTTAATAAGCCTCTAAAAGTAAACCTCTAATATTATAGAGTACAAAAACAAATATGGTTTATATACGATTCGATTTTATCGACATTATTTTAATTATTTTCTTATTTACATGTTCTTCAAAATGATAAGAATCATGCAATGATGCAGAACGATTTTTTCGTTTTTTAACAGATTAATCATATGAATAGTTATTATTCTATTTCGTGTTTTAGATTCATTTTTTTCTCTGATATAAACTGTTATCTTGTTAAAAAAATTACAAAAAAAGACAAGACCGATTCTATTATAATCAATAAGAGCTTAACCGTGATATGAAAGTCAAATATATACTATTTTTTTCTTGTTTGACTAGTTCGCAAATATTCAAGATTAAATAGTTTTAATAAGAATTTATCGAGATCGAAAAAATCTTTTATTATCATTATCATTATTATTATTATTATTATCATTATTATTATTGTGACTATTATGTTCTTAATATTAGAATAACTATTATTGTAAGAAACAAGCTATGATTGAAAATATAGCCTTGAATTTTGTAATGGTTTTCAAAACAGAACACTTTTAACCAATCATTTCTTATGAATGAATAACGATAATTTTGCTTGCTTACTAATCCTATCATAAACTAAAAAGATGAATGACAAAACTAAGGTCGATCTAAAGTAATGCTCATTATTCTTTTCATTTCTCTTTAGAAGGTTAGCAAAAAAACAAAGAAAAAGAAAAAGAAACATTAATCAATAATAATTTTCAGTAAAAAGAAAATAAATGAATAAATACTTATTTGTAATGTTTCTATTATTAAAAAGTAATTTGAGAAAAAAAAATATGTATATGAATTACTTACCGGAGTATGATCCGATAATGATTGTTGTTGACTATTTAATGATATTATTTGTTGTTGATCATTAACATTAGTTTTTTTTCTTTTTTTTCGTTTAATTGAAATATTTTTATCTAATTTCTTATTGTCATCATCCGTGATAATTATCACTGGTGGACTCTGATTTTTAGACGTATTAATGATGGGTGTATTGTCGACAGTAGGCAATGTGATGTTCTTATTTTTATCATCCGTTTTATTTATGTCGACAATATTCGTACTAGTAGTACTAGTATGAGTAGGAACCGTTGGAGTAACATCATCGACAATAATGTTAGTAGTTCTTGTTGAAGTATTTGTTGGTTGTAGTTCCTTTTTTTCTTTTTCTTTTTTTTTCTTTTCGCCGCTTTGTAGAACGTTCGCAACGTGCTTAGTGGAAAGATTTTTATTCCCATGCATGACACTCTTCATCGACGTTAATGGTTGCTGTTTCATAAGCTCAATAGATGAAGAATGTTGCTCCGTTTGTTGAGTAGGCGTTGATGATGATAAAGTATCTTCATTGATTTTTTCATTGATTAAATAAGATGAATTTGTTTCAGGTTGTTCAATAATAACAGAAGTTAGTTCTTGTGCACCGGTAATTGAAGATAATGTAAGAGATTTTTTTGACTTTCGTATTCTGCGTCGTTTACTTTTTGTTTGTTTCGTTGTAATATTTTCATTCTCGAGATGTTCAGCTGGTTTATCAATGACCATCTCGTCTTCTTGAGGTATAACTGATGATGACTGTTCCACTGGCTTATCAATGACCATCTCGTCTTCGTTAGATATAACTAATGATGATTGCTCAACTGGTTTATCAATAACCATCTCGTCTCCTTCAGGTGTAACTAATGATGATTGTTCAGGTTTTATTTTACTATGCTTATGACGACGTCTTCTTCTTTTTGATTTTGTTATTGTTGGATTTTGTTCATCTTTTTCTTCATCAGATTTTTTATTAATATTACCATAAATTTGACGAATATCATTTGAAAAACTCTCATAAGCATTAGCTGCATAGGGATTATGTTGATAACCAACATAATTCATATAATTATGCGATGGTTGAGAATAAAATTGACATTGTTGTAAGTTGTTCACATAGTTTGATATACTTACTGCTGATGGTGTTGGTATTGGGGTTGTTATTAATGGTACTGCTGCTGCTGTTGTTGTTGTTGTTGTTGATGGTATTGATTGTCTATAGAACTCATGTTGTAAAGTTTCCAGATTACCAAGCAAATAGGAACAAGATGTCAAATCAAGATCATTAATGTGATATGTTTGTATACTGGTTTCAGAAGAATCGATTTCATGTAGTGTCATTGGCCATGTTGAATGTACTTGTACCTGTTGTTGTATGTCAATATGGCCATCTTCATATAGAATACTAACATCACATAATTCTTGTTGATCAAATAATTGAAATTGTGTACGAAATGATTTTAATTTATTTTCTAAGGTACGTGCAGCAACTACTGCTGAATGATTGTTGGTATTAGGACGACGTGTTTTACGACGTGGCGTACCACGACCACCTAATTTTGTAGTTGGTTGAATTGTTGTTATTAAACTTGAATTGTTTTTAATACTTCCTGACGATGTTTCCGATGGTTCAGCCATGGAAATCTGAAATATAAGAAAATGATTAATAATTTACCTCTAATTGATTTTTGTGTGTTTTTGGTATCTTGCTGAAGTTATGGTTTTTTTTTTTTGATAAGGCGAAATATAACGGACATTATTTTCTTTTTTTTTATTCGAATGATAATTTGTTCTACGTATAAATAGCGTTGAATCGACATAAAAAAAATAGTTAGGTGAGTACAAAATGAAGCACGGGGAGAATATTTATCAATCATAAGATATCTAATCAAAAGTATGCTTACAAGAAATAAATAGTTCCTATATTTCACTCGTGCATAGGTTTTTACATTCTAGAAGACGGATAGAACCAGACGTGGTCTTCTATTGTCTCTATATGTAATAGATGAAATTTATTGTGTCATATAGTTTCATCATAACGAAAACGATTATTAGCATCAATATGATTCAAGGTTAAAGATGCTTTTTTTTACAATATACATATGTATATATGTATGTATGTATGTATATATATATATATAAACGTGCACATGCATAGGTGTGCATTTGTTTGCATATTAGTTCTGTGATCTATTATACCTACTTCGAGCAATTAAATGATCAATCTTTGCTTATTGCCGTCACCACTATCTTTTTTTATGTATATGTATCTATGTACACCATAGAGTATATAAGCAAAATTTTGGCGAACAATCACGCTGATCGATTGTAATATTGATAGCGTATCGAGAGTCGGTCAAAATTGTATTTTCTATCAAACAAGAGAAAGAGAAAAAGTAAAGAAAAAGTATGGTTGAAACTATCCTACTGTTTGATTAATATGATTGTCTCTTTCTATTCAAACGTGTGATATGTCTCAAATAAAGAGAGTCAATGTGCACGCGCGAGAAATAGATATAAAACAGACATACTTTTGTTTTCTTTTTCTTTTTTTAAAACACTACATTTATACTCAAGCAATTTTATGGTCAACTAGACAATCACTTCGTCAATCATAAGAGCTTTTGGCTGAAATCAATGCATATATATATGAACAGTATGCAAGAACAGAACAATAAGAAAAAGTATAGAGTATTTATATAAATTCTTGATATGGTAGGTATATTCTTTAAAACAAAAGACAGGTGTCATACTTATTATTATTACCTTCAACGAAGTATATATTTGATTTATATAGACGAATTCAAAGTATAAATAAACAGGAGAAGTTAATGACAATCTTCTCCTTTTAGTTAATACAAATATTTGATATTGTATTCTTTATATAATTTCATAATTGAATAAAACAATAATTAGAATCAACCAGACTCATTGAATTAAATGAGAAGATAATACATGGGCTTGACCAAGAAAACATCTGAAAGAATTTTGAAACAAAAATGAATCATGCTTTTTTTTAATAACTAAAACAAAAAATCTTGCTTATTCAAAGTCTTTCGACTAGACTGACTACATATTGAATATATTTTCCTCAATGTAAAATAGAAGAACATTATGATATACAAATAATTTTACAATAAAAAAGAATAGGTCGTAATTTTGATTGCTCAATCATCAATATACTGAAGTGTACTTTTATTTCGTCTATTCTTAATTTCATATTGCACCATTTATTCTATAGCTTGAATTGAATTGAAAACTGATAAAAATACCACTGTCTATTCTTACTACTTACACTTTTATTTCATCTCACCTATGGCAGAACGCGTGCATATACTTATATATATATGTGTTACAGATATAAACTCTCCAAAAAATGGGTCGCGAGGCGATGAAAAAAAAACGCCTAAGAATGTCCATATATACGTACAAATATACAAGTTGTTTAGTAATTCATTTTCACATTTATATTCATTTCAAGCCACATTCAGTGTTGTTTTAGTGAATAAAATTTCGATAAATAAATGAAAAAAACTTCAGCTGTATTTTTATACTTGTGTATGAACAATATGAGAAAAAAGATAAAATCATAATTATTGAACGAAAAAAAAAGACTATTTTCTTGTTTTTTATCATTTTACAACGTCTGGGCAGACATATGATATGACAAGTTCAATGAATTTCAAACATATATAGCTGAAAAATAGACCAAAAATCAAGTACAATTCTTTTTTTTTCTCTTATACTTATCTTTGCTTTTGAGAATATTCGCAACCAATCCAATGAACTTGTTAATCGGGTCATAGAATACTGTTATATGTACGTGACACTTATTCAAACGAAAATAAAAGAAATTATCCATCCAATCAATCATCAATTCATATATATGTATATATTGATATATATATATATAAATATGTCCATATAAAAAATTGATCTAACTAGCCTGCACGCATGTAAGTGTGCGAGACAAAAAAAACGAAAGCCAGACAACACCTTTTAATTTTGCTCATTCATTGACTAGTTGCATGACGTAAAAAAAAACATTTTGTGATGTTCACAATAATCAAACAAACCCATTTTTCTTTCGGTTTAGAAGATTCTCTTTCTCTCTCTATACCCATCCATTTCACGCACATGAATTACTATATGCACGCTGTTCAATACATTCAATCGGCTCGCAAAAGGCGAATGTAGAAAAAAAAAGAAAAAAAAAGGTTGTATTCGTCCCACTTTCTCTTTCATTGTAAATATGATGTATAGTCTACTCCTATTTTACTCGCTGATTAGATCCTAAGGAGGCGGAGTGATGCGGTTGACCAGCAACATGAATAAGTTTCTATGCATGCGTGTAATAGTTACATGTGTATAAAGGCCTATTTCGAGTTTTGTAATCAATAAATACTTATTTTATTAATAGATAAGATCATATGAATATTAAAACATCTAAAAAATTCTCTCTCATGAATTTTCTATATTTATTTTTGTTCTTTCCTCTTTCATTAAAACTCTTGAAGGCAGCACATGAGCATCGACCTTGAGACTCTGGTGTGTGTGTCACAGTAGTCAAATTTCTTTGCTTTTTGACGGTCTTTTTCACGTTGAAGTGGGGTAGGAAGAAATACAAGGAAAAAAAATGCTGCAATAAAAAAAACGCAATAAAAAAAATCTTCTGCATATATACGACTCGTTTATTTGTGTTTATCGATAGTGACACACATCAATACTTATCAGAGCAACTAGTCATGCTTTTTAATGTACAACATAATGACTCTAACGTCGTAAGACACATGAGTTAAAAACGGGCCCATCAAATTAAAACAAACCGTTGTACAATCAAAAAATAACAATATTTACCTTTTCTTCTATGCATTATTTATCGATAGTGCTATGTTAAACATAGATGCAACTAGTTTTATACAACGTACATTAACGATTCTATCACGTCGTAAACGGATAACAGCTGCCGATGCTTTACATACACAATTACGTCGATGTTTAACAGTATTTGATTTAACTACATTAGGCATTGGTAGTACATTAGGTGCTGGTATTTACATTCTTGCGGGTGCAGTTGCACGAGATTTAGCTGGTCCTGGTGTTCTTTTATCATTTCTTATTGCTGGTATGGGTTCGTTATTTTCAGGACTTTGTTATGCAGAATTAGGCTCAAAATATCCACGTGCAGGATCTGCTTATGTTTATTCATATGTTGTTATTGGAGAATTAGCAGCTTTTATTACAGGTGTATTTATCGATTTAATGTATGAATTAAGATATTTTAACTCTTTTTTTTCATTTTAGGCTGGAATTTAATTCTTGAATATATAGTTGGAGCTGGTAAGAAATAAGTCATTGTTTTTTTTTTAATTAGAAAAAACAAAGAAAAACATATGCATTTGGCTTAGATAGCATCATCAGCACGTGCATGGACAAGTTCAGTTGATTCAATAATTGGTTTTCGTATGAGTAGTTTTTTTGAAAAAAATTTTCCATTTCCATTTAATAATTCATATGGAATGTTTGCACCATACATGGATATAGGAGCATTTTGTTTAACATTAATAACAACCGTTATATTAGCTATTGGTGTTAAAGAATCAAGCCGAATGAATAATTTTTGTACAACAGTGAATTTAGCTAGTGTAACAAGTAAGATAGAAAAAATAAAAAATAAAAACAAGAAGAGAGTTTGCTTTTTAATATTTTAATTCTTTTTTTTTTCATTGTGTAGTTATTGTTTTAAGTGGTGTGTTTAAAGCAAATACAGATAATTGGCATATATCAATAAATCAAATTAAACAAAATCAATCAATAATTCAAGCAGGAACTGGTGGATTTTTACCGTATTCATTTTCAGGTGTATTATCGGGTGCAGCTACATGTTTTTATGCATTCGTTGGGTTCGATCTTGTTGCAACAACCGGTGAAGAAACAGAAAATCCTCGAATGGCTATACCTATTAGTATATGTCTTGTTTTATTTGTTTGTTGTATTGTTTATTGTGCTGTTGCTGCTGTATTAACATTAATCGTACCTTATTATTCAATACGAGTTGATGCATCATTACCTGATGCATTTGATCGTGTTGGACTGTCACATGTTAAAATTGCAAGTGAGATTGTTTGTTTGTGTGTTTTTTTCGTTTATATCAGTTATCTTTTTCTTTGTTGTTTATAGTTACACTTGGAGCTGTTACTGGTCTTACATCCAGTATAATTGGATCATTATTTCCATTACCTCGTGTCTTATATTCAATGTCATCAGATGGTCTATTATTTTCAATATTGGGTAAAGTATCAAATAAGTCTCGTACACCAATTTATTCAACACTTATCGGTGGTTTTATATCAGCTTTTATGGCATTAATATTTGATTTATTAACGTTAGTTGAAATGTTAAGTATAGGAACATTAATTGCGTATACACAAGTTGCATTAGCTGTTTTAATATCACGTTATGAAGTGAATGATGATAGTACTTATGATTTACATAAAAGTTTATTTTTTATAGTAATTATAATCTTATTATTGTGCTTTATTTCAATTTATTCATTTGAAAATCATGATTATATAAATCCAATAGCAATAATAATATTTACCTTTTTATTATGTATTTTAATTTTGTTAATTCATAAA